CCATTATGGTTACCGCCAAAAAAAAACAGAGGTAAAAAAGAAATGATAACCTGGTTGCCGAGTTCACGAAGTGAGTTGGCTTGTTTTACAACGTCGTTGCCAAGCGACGAAAACCCAACCCCGATGGCAATCACCGGGGCGGGCGCACCTGGGGGGGGGGCGGCTTGTTTTACAACGTCGTTGCCAAGCGACGAAAACCCAACCCCGATGGCAATCACCGGGGCGGGCGCACCTGGGGGGGGGGCGGCTTGTTTTACAACGTCGTTGCCAAGCGACGAAAACCCAACCCCGATGGCAATCACCGGGGCGGGCGCACCTGGGGGGGGGGCGGCTTGTTTTACAACGTCGTTGCCAAGCGACGAAAACCCAACCCCGATGGCAATCACCGGGGCGGGCGCACCTGGGGGGGGGGCGGCTTGTTTTACAACGTCGTTGCCAAGCGACGAAAACCCAACCCCGATGGCAATCACCGGGGCGGGCGCACCTGGGGGGGGGGCGGCTTGTTTTACAACGTCGTTGCCAAGCGACGAAAACCCAACCCCGATGGCAATCACCGGGGCGGGCGCACCTGGGGGGGGGGCGGCTTGTTTTACAACGTCGTTGCCAAGCGACGAAAACCCAACCCCGATGGCAATCACCGGGGCGGGCGCACCTGGGGGGGGGGCGGCTTGTTTTACAACGTCGTTGCCAAGCGACGAAAACCCAACCCCGATGGCAATCACCGGGGCGGGCGCACCTGGGGGGGGGGCGGCTTGTTTTACAACGTCGTTGCCAAGCGACGAAAACCCAACCCCGATGGCAATCACCGGGGCGGGCGCACCTGGGGGGGGGGCGGCTTGTTTTACAACGTCGTTGCCAAGCGACGAAAACCCAACCCCGATGGCAATCACCGGGGCGGGCGCACCTGGGGGGGGGGCGGCTTGTTTTACAACGTCGTTGCCAAGCGACGAAAACCCAACCCCGATGGCAATCACCGGGGCGGGCGCACCTGGGGGGGGGGCGGCTTGTTTTACAACGTCGTTGCCAAGCGACGAAAACCCAACCCCGATGGCAATCACCGGGGCGGGCGCACCTGGGGGGGGGGCGGCTTGTTTTACAACGTCGTTGCCAAGCGACGAAAACCCAACCCCGATGGCAATCACCGGGGCGGGCGCACCTGGGGGGGGGGCGGCTTGTTTTACAACGTCGTTGCCAAGCGACGAAAACCCAACCCCGATGGCAATCACCGGGGCGGGCGCACCTGGGGGGGGGGCGGCTTGTTTTACAACGTCGTTGCCAAGCGACGAAAACCCAACCCCGATGGCAATCACCGGGGCGGGCGCACCTGGGGGGGGGGCGGCTTGTTTTACAACGTCGTTGCCAAGCGACGAAAACCCAACCCCGATGGCAATCACCGGGGCGGGCGCACCTGGGGGGGGGGCGGCTTGTTTTACAACGTCGTTGCCAAGCGACGAAAACCCAACCCCGATGGCAATCACCGGGGCGGGCGCACCTGGGGGGGGGGCGGCTTGTTTTACAACGTCGTTGCCAAGCGACGAAAACCCAACCCCGATGGCAATCACCGGGGCGGGCGCACCTGGGGGGGGGGCGGCTTGTTTTACAACGTCGTTGCCAAGCGACGAAAACCCAACCCCGATGGCAATCACCGGGGCGGGCGCACCTGGGGGGGGGGCGGCTTGTTTTACAACGTCGTTGCCAAGCGACGAAAACCCAACCCCGATGGCAATCACCGGGGCGGGCGCACCTGGGGGGGGGGCGGCTTGTTTTACAACGTCGTTGCCAAGCGACGAAAACCCAACCCCGATGGCAATCACCGGGGCGGGCGCACCTGGGGGGGGGGCGGCTTGTTTTACAACGTCGTTGCCAAGCGACGAAAACCCAACCCCGATGGCAATCACCGGGGCGGGCGCACCTGGGGGGGGGGCGGCTTGTTTTACAACGTCGTTGCCAAGCGACGAAAACCCAACCCCGATGGCAATCACCGGGGCGGGCGCACCTGGGGGGGGGGCGGCTTGTTTTACAACGTCGTTGCCAAGCGACGAAAACCCAACCCCGATGGCAATCACCGGGGCGGGCGCACCTGGGGGGGGGGCGGCTTGTTTTACAACGTCGTTGCCAAGCGACGAAAACCCAACCCCGATGGCAATCACCGGGGCGGGCGCACCTGGGGGGGGGGCGGCTTGTTTTACAACGTCGTTGCCAAGCGACGAAAACCCAACCCCGATGGCAATCACCGGGGCGGGCGCACCTGGGGGGGGGGCGGCTTGTTTTACAACGTCGTTGCCAAGCGACGAAAACCCAACCCCGATGGCAAACACCAGGGGGGAGTAGCCAATCAGCACTTATCTTTGGCTTGCTTCCCTCGCCTTACGCGCTACAAGAACGGGCCCGCAATCACAAGATATGCTCTGAAGTGGCTTTTGAATGTTTACGACAAACAACAACATGGGGTTGAGAAGCACGACTCAGCGGCCGACCCTACACCAAACTCCGATATACAACAACCAGTGCTCCACGGTGGTGGCAACGTTACTAGTAAGGCACTGAGCCTCGACCCGAACTTGACGCTTCTCTTAACTGCGGGCCCGCTACACCATGCCCCCTCCCCCCCCCACCCCTCCGTACTAACGTTTGCATCCACGCTTTTTCTGGCGGAACGAACGAAACAGGCATGATCATCGCGGAGGCGACTCAGGTCAGCAACGACGGGCAGGGTTACCCTTTGACACCCGGTATCTACACCCCGGAACAGATTGCCGGGTGGAAGAAGATCACCGCTGCCGTCCACGCTAAGGTTGGTCCCGGCGTCGTGTGTAAAACCTGTTGCACACAGTGGCGCGTGAACTGTTGGTTGTCTCCCTTTGCGGACCTGCGATGTGCCTGATCCTCCTTCCTTGTAGAGCTACAATAGCTTCGGATCAGCTTGTTTCACTGCACCGCATATGGTGCCGCAGTCGCCACCGTTTCTAGAGAACGTGTCAATTTTGAGTCGCGCACTGCAACACCTAGTATGCCTGGGGTGCCGCAGCCATCTTTCGTAAAGAACGTTCACATGTGGCGCCTAACCCTATTGAACAGTAACTGATTTTTTAACACGGCAGCAACGGCGACAACGACTTATCAGTGCTGTAACGCCTTGTCGCCAAAACCTCCACACGGACTCGCGCAGGGTGCCAAGATGGTCTGCCAGCTCTGGCACTGCGGCAGGATCAGCCACGAGAGCTATCAGCCGGAGGGGCGCGCACCGCTCGCACCATCGGCCCTCGCATGCCCCGCAGGGGAGTGCATGACCATGGAGGGACCCAAGGTGCGTGAGGCAGGGGTTCTTCCCAGCGTTTGGTATCTCCCCGCAGGGAAGTTTCCTGGGTTGGGAGGGCGGCTGGCTCCTATGACACACTGTGGTGTTGTTACAAGCGCTTCGAGGAACATTCTGTGGCTGTAAACGGTTGCCCGCACAAGACCCCCGTGTGCCGAGTACCAACAAGACACCCTGTTGGTGGAGCCACCTGCTTACGACGGCTGGGTCGACTTGATGACGAAACCTCAGGGATGCAACCGCGACGCTCGTGAAGGAGCTATAGGTTAGACCACGGGCAGGAACGCATTCTTGAAACGTTCATTCTTACAGCATTTCGAAACGGGTTTCATTCGATCTCCTCCTTTGATGGGCAGCCGTTTCCGGTGCCGCGGGAGATGACCATCGAGGACATCAAGACCTGCGTCGAGCAGTTCCGCCAGGGCGCACTGAACGTTATGGAGGCAGGCTTCGACGGGTTGGAGGTGGGCGCTTAAGGACTGCAGAATACGGATATTCGGGGGGGCCGAGGGTTACGTGGATGGTAACTGTATGATGGACATGCCGCGTAGGGATTGCCTTGCCTCCCGCATGTCTGTTACTCGTTAATGGTACAAGGTCTTGAGTTCAGCCTTCTTTCTCTCTTTCGGCCCCTGACGAACCTGCTGCACCCAAACAAGAACGTCGAATGCACCTTGTTGTTTGGCTGGCCGATGTGTGAACAGCGTCTAGCTGAGAGAGAGAGAGAGTAAGAGAGGGAGAGAGAGAGAGAGAGAGAGAGAGAGAGAGAGAGAGAGAGGAGAGAGAGAGAGAGAGAGAGAGAGATAACTAGTGGGTGTGCTGCTGCATTTCATTATGGGGCGAAGAAGCGCATGAATCGGAAGAGTAATATTCCGACATTTATCAACCAATAATCGGTGTGATGTTCTTCCTTGTCTTTGAGAACTGACCAGAAACTACATAGTCTCTGAATTCACACCGAAATCTGTTGCCTGTGGTGTTAGCGTCGGAGCCATAATTTTGCGGTAAACGAGTTCCTGAACGGTGAGTTATTGTAAAGACCACGCGTATCGGCCCAGCAGTTGACGGGCCGCTTGATGTCATATTTCCTGCCTCCTGCTGTAGCTGCTATCGGAGACCTACCTCTCAGTAACCTCACGATTCCGAGCGACTGCTGGTGTCCTAACCACTGTTTTCCTTATGCGTATGACACGGGATGAATCGCCAGATTCACGCCGCAAACGGGTACCTGATCGACCAGTTCCTCAAGGACAGCTCCAACAAGCGTACCGACGACTACGGCGGCTCGTTGGAGAACCGCTTCAGGCTGCTCAAGGAGATCTTGACGGCTTGCCAAGAGGCCATCGGCAAGGACAAGGTGGGTGGTTTAAATTCAGAGCTGGCGAAGCCCACTATGCGGGTGATCAGCATCCCGTGAGCTGTCGATGAAAATGTGTACGGGTTGTGTCTCTTATTTAGCGAGCGACGATGAAGTACGTCCACTTTCAATATCGCGGCATCACTCAGCGCAACCGAGACTAATTCGCTTTTGCCGAGGCCAGGACCAGAGCCGATGGATTGTGGAAGCTATTGGTGCAGGCTTCGCGTTCAAATTCTGAGGCTAGGCACATACTTACGCTTGGGCTTTATACGGAAACACGATATTCGCTCTGTCCGCTCCAAGAGGGGCTGACTACCGACGAAATCTCCGAGTCTTCGGCCGGGAAGCAAAACGCAACAGGCCTCCCGACAGTGCTCTGCGTTGGACTCGAGCATGTGTTGTGTCTCATCGTCTTTTCGACCCAAAAACAGGTCGCCGTTCGCCTCACACCGGGAGGCACCTTCAACGCGACCAAGGACGAGGCCGAGGAGGCCACGGGCAACCACGAGTACTTCTGCCGGCAGCTCAGCGGCATGGGCCTCATGTACCTGCACGTCAAGCTCGCGGACGACCAGGACGTGCGCCACGGGGGCAAGGTCGTCCCCATCGAGACCATTCGCAAGGCCTTCGACGGCGTCCTCATCACGAACAACCGGTACGACGAGAAGGACGACTTCGGGGAGGGCGACCTCGGGAAGAGCTACGACGCCGTTGCCTTCGGGCGGGCGTTCCTCGCCAACCCTGACCTGCCCGTCAGGTACAACATACATGCGAGACTTGGTTGTGTAATTGGACTGTATTGTACGCCGACGTTGATATAAGATGGATGCCCCCCTAATTATGTGTTTTCATTTCCATTTTTATTTGCAGGTCGACGTTCGTAGATGATCGATTCCCCCTTTAGGTCTCGTGTTGGCACGATCATAATTTTAAGTAGGCCAACGTTCGCAAACATTTGATGCCCCCTATACCTTGTGTTTGCGTGATAAAATTTTCCCCGTCGACGTTCGTAGATTTCGTAGATGATGGATGCCCCCTTGTCGTCTCTGTATCAAGCTGTGGGCATTTCACAAGTAATACCGATCCAACGCCCGTGAAATGCCTTCGCGCGAGCCTATCCTGGTGCGGTATGTTTCTCCACAACGATGACCGCTCCGTTTAACGGGGGTTTTAATTGGCGCGCACTCCGTTTGTGGTAACTGGGTAAAAGGGTACAGCTAGCTGCCCTCGGCATCTCTCCAGCCAGGTCTCAAAATCCTGTCCTTGGCCTTAGCTACATATGCGCGCACAACCGTTGTTGGGACGCACCTTGGCCAGAATAAAACCTCATCGACATATGTTCCCCACGCCGAACTTTTTCACCCGGCGCCCCATTTTGGCCAGCGGATTGATCTGTTACTACAGCAGTATTGAACTTTCATGCCCGTCAATCTTAGTGATACGACACGCACCACCTGCTTTTCGTACCCTATCCTTCGCACGTTTCCGCGCCTGCGACTTGCTTGTCACTCCACATTGATTGCGTGTCCAGGGTTGCCAAGAAGGCCCCCCTGAACGAGTGGGACCACACTACCTTCTTCGGGGGCACCGGGAAGGGCTACACCGACTACCCGTTCATGGACGCTTGAAAAGCGTCGATTTCCTAGGCAATGCGTGCTCACCAGGAGTATGTTTATGTTGCTCCGTTGACCATCGAGGAGTTATGACTGGTTGTATTTGTCCCGGGAACCTCTTGCCCTGCTCCCAGTTGGTCTGTGAGCTTTGTGAGCCTGCCAGCACGTGCAGAGGCAGAGGATAACCTTTCATGGACGCTTGAGAAGCGAAATCTTGAGGGGGGTGTTCTTTGAAGGGGGTCCGCGGGTGGGGGTGACCTCCTCGGTTGGCAACGAGGGGCGCCGGGGGGGGGGGGGGGGGGG